AAAAAAAAAAAATGTAGCACCAAAAATGTAGCAGAAATTTTGAGGTTTTAGGTTTAAAACTTCTGTCTTGCTTGGCTCAGAGTCTGGAAACAGGCAAGACAGCCAAGATTTGAGTATCCGAAAGGTAAGGGGAATACAGCAGCCACTGCAAGGGAAAATGGAAGTAAGACAGACAAGTGTCTATTGAAGCTCCTCGTAGACAAGGTTGACAAGCTCCTTTTCACCACTGTCAAGAACCGACAACTATCTTCTAGGAAATTAGGCCTGAACACCAGCCTGACAACTGCAATGCATGGACCCCAAAAATCAACACAGAGCAAATACTCAGTTCATTTTTTTTTCTTTTTTCTTTCTTTTTTTTTTTAATGCCTGATGAGCACTGAGGCGGGCTTAAATTATATCTGTAAGTCAAGAGTATAGAAACAGAATTTGATGCAAAACTGATGGGTTATGAAGGACAGAAAGGAAAGAATTAAAATGCAATTAAAATCATTATAAATCCATGCATGAGAAGATACAGGGATGGCCACTCAGAGCAGCAGCAAAGATGCTTCCTTGGATGCCTGCACCCCATACCAGAGTGCCTGGTTTGAGTCCTGTCTCTGATACTGATCCTCACTTCCTGTTACTGCACATTCTGAGGCTAAAGCAGATGTGTCGCTGATTCTCTTTATTTCCAGCAAGAGGCAGTATTCTCTGGGATTGGAACTGAAGCCACAGAGGTTATGGCTTATAAATCCAATTATAAGCCAAAAAAATGTTCTAGGTGATCCCAGATACATACAGGCAAAGTCACGTAAAAGAACGTAAAAGACTAAAGGAAACAGGGGGCCTGGCGCAATGGCAAAGTGGCACAGTGGTTAAGGTCCTCGCCTTGCACGCCCAGGATCTCATATGGGTGCCGGTTCTAATCCCGGCAGCTCCACTTTCCATCCAGCTCCCTGCCTGTGGCCTGGGAAAGCAGTCAAGGACAGCCCAAAGCTTTGGGACCCTGCACCCGCGTGGGAGACCTGGAAGAGGCTCCTAGTTTCGGATCGGCATAGCATAGGCCATTGCGCTCACTTGGGGAGTGAATCATAGGACGGAAGATCTTCCTCTCTGTCTCTCCTCTCTGTATATCTGCCTTTCCAATAAAAAAATAAAATAAATCTTTAACAACAACAAAAAAAAAAAACTAAAGGAAACAGCTTGGAGAGCCCTAAAGAGATGATGTTTATCAAATTCTTCATATCGCAGATTCCTTTGGCAACAGAGTACCCACATGTGTGCTTGAAAAACTGACACAGCGGTGTGAAACAGTGAGGCAGTCTTTATTGATCCTGAATACCTGCAGGAGAGTGTAAAGAGAATTGTGCCTAATACATCCATAAAATAATATTCCTGGGCCCAGCGCAGTAGCCTAGTGGCTAAAGTCCTTGCCTTGCAAGCACTGAGATTCCATACGGGCACAGGTTCTAATCCCAGAGGCCTCACTTCCCATCCAGCTCCCCGCTTGGGGTCCAATGCCTTCGGCCTCTGCACCTTCATGGAAGGCCTGGAAGAGGATCCAAGCTCCTGGCTTCGGATCGGTGCAGCTCCAGCCTTTGTGGTCATTTCGGGAGTGAATCAGCAGATGGAAGATCTTCCTCTCTCTCTCTCTTCCTCTCTGTATATCTGACTTTCTAATAAAAAATTAAATAATAAATCATAATAATAATCCTGAAATAAACCAATGAAAATTGATTCCTGAGAAAATATGAATGATGAAAACACAAGTAAGTCTTCTAAAGAGTCCCTGACTTTTTCTCTTCCCTCTACAGTCTTTGTTTATCCATTACCAAAATTTCATTTGGACATACTATTTGATCAAAAAGCTTGTGCAAACGTTTTTACAAGAGCCCTTTACCATCTAGTGGCTCCCCCAAAACTTCGATGTCCTGAAAAAAAAAATCTAATTATTGCTGGTAACTTTAAAAGATCACAGTAATTTATTTTTGTCAAATGTGACTAAAGATTAATGGATACAATCAGGAATAATTTGGTAAAAACATATCAAATGCAGAGAAAGCAAAATTTGTTGTTAAGTGAAGCATCAAATATAATAAAAGAGCAAATTCCATGAATGAACAGCAACAATGCACAATTCATTAACCAAATGCCCATGATTATTTCACACTTGAGAAGGCCACTGATATGACCAGAAATTGTAGTAAAGGATAACTAGAGATTACCTTTAGCATCTCTTTATACATTTTAATTATAAATACCACCCCCGGAGGGTACCAGTATAAGGAAGGCAAATAAGGTGAGATTTGCTTACCCCTTTTAAAAAACCATAATTCTATATACATATGACTACACATTCTATTCTTTTAAAATAGCAATCAATATGCCAGAAGATTTTATAAGTATAAAATTTTCTTAGCTGTTGCTATAAAATTACAATTGTGCTCAATATTCAGTCTCTGACAACTCTTAACTCCTCAAAACCATCAACACTTACCGTCACTATCAACATCTACAAACACCTGTTAATATACAAGCGAATGTTCTGGTCATTGCCAGATGTCCTTCACTGTCTAAAGAAGGTATCTGCTCAACAAACATTAAGAAACTGTAAGATTCTGGACAGCAAGGTCACACCCTAATAGTCTGCATATTCTTAGAAACTGGACTCATGACTTGACTCAAAAATAGTAATTTATTATTTTAGAGAGCTGATTCTTTCTTTATTTGAAAGGCAGTGCTACATGGAGAGAAGGAGGGACAGAGATGGGACATCCATAAATGGCCACAATTGCCAGGACTAAGGCAGGCCAAAGCCAGGTGCTGCAAGCTTCATTCAGGTCTCCCACGTGGGCACAGGGGCTCAAGGACTTTGGCCATAATCTGTTGCTATCCCAGGCATCCACGTGGCATTGCAACCAATAGTTTAACCTGCTACACCACAATGCTAGTCCCCAACAGTAAAATTTTAGTATATATTTTAAAATATATAAACTGGAAACAGCCAAAGCAATCATTAACAAAAACACTCATATTGGATTTTTCCATTAAACACACTGAATGAAAATAAACAAAATTTTGGCTTTGCAAAGAGAGAATAATAAATACACATAAAAAGTGACTCTAGAGTCCGGCATGATGGCTGACTAAGCTAACCCTCTGTCTGCAAGGTGCCGGTATCCTATATAGATACCAGTTTGTGTTCTTTTGAGCTCACTTCCAATCCAGCTCCAAAGCCTTGGGACCCAACACCCATGTGGGAGACCTGGAAGAGGCTCCAGGCTTCACAGCAGCTCAGTTCTGGCTGCTGTGACCATGTAGGGAGTGAGCCAGCGGTGGAAGACCTTTCTGTCTCCTCGCTGCAAATTTGACTTTCCAATACAAATAAATAAACCTTTTATATAAAAAAGTTGAATTATAATACAGTCTTGCCTGTCATTTTAAAAATACATAAATATTGACAGTACACAAAAATGAGCACAATGAGAACTTTCAGATATAGAACAAGCATAAAAGCACCTAGTGAGTGCTGTGTTGCTGGGCTCACAGTCCTCAAACTGTCGCTTCAGCAAAGCATGAATCAAAAGGTGGACGTTAACTTGGTAACAGAGTAGATTCCAGTATCTATATTTCGAACTTGGCATTATTTAGAGCTGACAAAATGACTTCTGTGATGTTTGCATGCAACAACACCTGATTGTGGAGCCTGTGAAATCATAGTAACCTAGGGCCTTTTCCAACTAGTGCATTATTTAAGAAGGAATTCTCTTCTCCAGATAAGTAAGCCAACTCAAGTCCAGGGTGATTGTGGTAGTAATTTAACTGAACTGAGAATTATTCCACGAAACAGATGATTACCATTGAGCAAGAAATCATTAATTATTGAACTCTATAGAAACTAACATACTCCACAATCAAACTTCCTTGTAGCTGCTGTACAAGTTTAATTCAATACACCTCAAGAAAACACAAAAACCATTATCACTCCAGGATAACTGATTCTAAAGCTGTCTTTTACTTTCGTGTCAATAACAGCAGCTAGAACGCCAGCTGCGCTTCACTCAGCTTCTACTCGGTAAGAGAAACACTTCTTGATCAGGTCTATTTAGGTCTATACCACATGTAACCCTCACAAGGTTCATTCATTTAAAGAAGATATTTCTTCCCTCCCTTGAAAGATAAGACACTGTAGAGAATCTAAGTAATTTGCCCCTCCACACACACACGCACACACACACGCACACACGCGCGCACACACACACACACACACACACACACACACACACACACACACACTCTCCTCCTTCCCCTACCCCTCACTGTACCTCATATCTGCATCAGATAAAAGAAACGTACCCAGATACCGCTGATTTCAACACCAAAAATCCACAGGCAGAAGAAACAGATTGTTGCATTAATCACTGCCTATGTAAGGGAACAAAATCTCTATCTTTGCTTGTCATGTTTCCTTTCTTAAGTTAGTTTGCTTTGTGCCTTTCCTAATGCCGCTCAAAGGAAGACTGCGGCAGAATCATGTAGATTGCCAACAGCCATTTCCATCATTTATTCACACACACAAGGGTTTCCCAAAATGTCCCATGCTTTATTGGAAGACAAGCCTATAAGAACTATCTGGAAGAAAAATTACTATTTGTATAGATTTTCTCATTTTCTATTCTTGACTGTGATTTTAGCTGATACACAAATACTTCCTTATTTCACATAAATACATTTAGTATGTATTAAGAAATGGAAGTATAACATCACAGCAATGAGTTTCTAGGAATATAAAGTCTCCTTTCTACATAAATGCATGACAGTGAAAACGATTTCTATTTAATTTAAAAATTCTGCAAGAGTTTTCACAAGTTTTTTAAAAGTTGCGAGGGAGATTGCAAAGCAGGAGCCATCAGAAAGCGCAGACCTGAGTCCTTACCAGAGCCAAGAACAGGCTGCGTGCCTTAGAGCAAGAGGGCCAAACCTCGTGTGTCACATTCACCCGCACGAGCACTCACCTCTGGTGACAGCATCAAGTGCGCAGCCGCTGCCCGTCGCTCCTCCTCCAATCACAAGGATATCAAATTCAGAAGTGTTCTGCAGAGTCAGTAGCTGAGCTTCTCTGGACGGAGGCTCCCTGTTGACAGGTTCAGTCAAGCACTCGGCTGCTTCGACGTATGCCAGGTTCACCTGATGAAAAAGGAACTACTTTCAGTTCATCTGTAATGCCAGTTTTAGAAAAACTTTACAACACAACTTGAAAAAGAAATTTGTAGTAGACCCCACGCCAGATGAGGTTATGAAAGTAACAGTGACAGGAGGCGGGGTCGGGGCGAGCCGGCAATGATCCTGGGTGTACGTTTTCTCATGAGTGGTAACTACTCAGCCAGAGAAAAACTAATTTCAAAGTCAACATCTTAATTTTTGTCATTTTTTTTGTCATCTACAGCCAAGATCAATTATTACCAGCATACCTTATATATGACTTACCTTTTCTATGACAATTTATAAGGGAACATAAGGAATACGTTTACCCAGCAGACACACTCAGATAACATTTACAAGTACTGAAAAGAAGAGGTAAAAGTATTTTTATATGTTTCTACAATTCATTTAAAAAAATCTTATGTTTCTCATGCCTAAATTTTGTAGCCCCCTCCAAAAAAAATCTGGAATTTGGAGTTTACTTAGTATACGACTCTACAAATAGAATCTGTTTAACAAGAATAAATATCTAGTTTAATTCATCAGTTATATCCAATGGGAATATGCTAAGGACTTCCTCATTCAACATTTTAATATAATGTTCAAAACATTATATATTTATTATACACTACTTTATTTTAAACTTTAATAAAAATATAATCAAAGGTAAGCCTAGTCCTCCCAAAAGATAAGCACCTTTTCTATGTGCAGTTATTTTGTAAGACTGTAGCTCATTATCCTAAATAAAAATATATACATCTTCAAAGAAAACTAGTTGCTGGAAATCAAAGTCAAAACCCCCAAAATGCAGGTGTTTTTTCCCCTACACCGATAATGCAAATTCTATTCACTCTATTATTATGCCATAAAGATATGCTTACTCTTTTCTTTAAGTCGTAGCATCAGTACCATCCATGGTGGCAGTGTTTTCCCATTCTGCCAGGAGGACCACATATGAACCTCTGAACTACCATTCTAAAGTTTATTCAAGAGGTGGTCTGAGTTCTTACCACAAGACTTTCTTAACGTTCGAGCAATTTTTTACTTCATTAAAATCAAAGTAAACTAAAAAGCCCCTTATGATTGAATTTAGTCAATATCAGAACAATTGGATTTTGATGAAAATAAATCTGAATGCCATCATGAAAATCACTAGTAAACTATAAAGTATTGCCAGAGTTGTTGTCGTTATACAATTTGATTCTTTGGTAGCAAATAATGAGGAGTTTTCCCAAAATATATGTCAAGTGTTACAAAAATTGATTGCAAAGTATAAAAGTTCCTGTTTGTCATAAAATTCCTCCTAATTATTGCCAACAACTACTTCCTCATATTTACTTACGCAGATTTAAGGCAACCACATGATCGTAACTACGATGTGCTACGGACAACATGGTCTGTCTTCCATCACATAATGAGAACAAGAAGTAAATACACACACACACACACACACACACACACACACACACACAGGTACTTCATGAAATGTGAAGGAAACTGGATTAAAAAATATATATATATAATATATGCATATTTTGGTACAGAAAAATTTTCAACCCCACACAGGTTCTTACTTCCATACTATTCGTTTCCCATGAACTTTCTGAAGACCTCATGAATGCACAGATTTCAAAATAATTTTGCATCAAAATACATGTATCTTTTAATTTAATTTTCTGAGAACTTTTAAAATACATATGTAACAAGTATCCAGAAAGAACAAATGCCAAAATAGAGGAGGGAAAAAAGCCCGCCAGGCTCTGACCATTCAGACGGGGAGGGAGAGTCTTTCATTTGAGGGTTTCGATTGCGCCATGACAGATGGGTAGGACTTGGACACGAGAATGACAAGTGACTAAACTGCCAGAGCGTTTTCACACATCAGAAGAATTGCTGACATTTTCTGCTTGGTAAGTTTTCTAGAAATACTTGAAAAATAAGTTTAAAGACCATATTATGATACAGTTCATTAGAACTTGGTGATACTAAAATCTCCCTATTTTATTCTTTTGAAGATAAAGCTCAGCTGTTTGAATTTATCCCCAGGCATCACTCATAGGTGTAGCTACACTGCTTCTCTAGTTTCCATCTCCTGCCTCACTCTTCTCACCAGCTGCCTCCAATCTAGTTCATCTTAAACAACCACACCTCCAAGGAAGACCTCTTAGGAGGCAGGCATTGAGCCTAGTGGTTAAAGACACCCACATCTCATATTGGAGTGCCGGGGTTCAGTCCCCAGCACTGTGCTGGACTGCAGCTTCTTGATGCAGACTCTGGGACACAGCAGTGATGGCTCAAGTAACTGGGCTCCTGACAGCTAAGTAAGACTCCTGGATTATATCCTGACTACTAGTTCTGACCTCAGATCAGTCCTGGCCATTCTTTCTCTTTCTCTCTCCCTACCTCTCTCTGTTTCTTCCCTCTTGCCTCTCAAATTAATAAATTTATATAAAGCACCTCTCACATGTTTAAAACAACCACCTTGAATCTTACTTTTTCTACCACCTACTTCTTACACTTAATCACTCCAAGCTGGATTTTCACATTCACACCTCTACCACCATCATCACCAATACTAACTAATGTTGCTAAATCCAATAAGCACACAATTGATTGTTCACTTGCATTGGCATCTGGGGAACAGTGCTCCCATGCGCTCGCTCTTTTGCTCTCCCTCTGCTCTAACCAATTCTCTCTAAGCTTCCTCCGACTGTCTCCCTGCCTAATGCCCAGCACTGCACACCAAGATTCTTATTCAGTATGTTCTGGTCATTCTTCCTGGATCACTAAGATGTCTCTCCCTCTCTCTCACTCACACACACTCTCCCTCCCTCCCTCTTCTTCTCCCTCTCCATTTTCCTTTCCCTCTCATCTCAAACAGTCATAGTGTCAAATGTCCTTTGTACCTGATGACTTCTAATTTTCCTCTGCTTTCTTTGCCTAACTGCCATGTCCATTTGGATATTTCACATATATCTCAAAATTAATCCTATGACTTCATCTCGTCAAACTATTTTCCCTGTCAGTATCCTTTATCTCAGGATGGATGACATTGCACATGCAGGTGATTATGCCAGAAAGTCTGGAAACATCTTAACAGTTCTCTCTTAAGTCCCATATTTGACATATCTGATCAATCGCCGAGTGCAATCGGCTGGATGTCCCATAGAATGCTCCCGTCTGGTCACTCCTTTGGCACTCTCACCTCTCCAGCCAAGGGATTCTCCCTAGCTCTTGCAGTAAGGTGGCCCACTCGCAAAGCTCTGCTCTCCCTCTGCTCCCTCTCCGTCATTCTCCATACTGCAACTGCAATAATCTCTGCAAAACCCCAATCGCTTCATCCCCATGTGCAAAATCCTTCAAGAGCTCCCTGTTTAATCTAGGCTAAAGGGAAGCACAGTTAAATATCCTGGCTTCTAAGACACTAAGCAGTCTCTTCAGATGTTCCAAAGGACAATACCAAGTGCTAGCGAGGAGGCAACAGGATTGGAACTCTCTTCAATTGCTGGTGGAAATGTAACACGAGAGAGCCATTTTAGAAAACAGTTTGCGAGTACCTGATAAAGGCAGGCACATGCTTATCATTCAACCCGGAAATTTCCTCCTAGATGATGAACCAAAAGAAATAAAAAGCTGTGCTCACACAGAAATTGAGAGGCAACTGTGTACAACGGCTTTATAGACAATTGTCTCAAACTGGAAAATGTCACATGCTCTTCACTTCGTGAATGATAAAACAGTGTTATCTTCATGCAGTGATTTAACAATCAGTAATAAAAAAAACAAAAATCAGATACCACAATAAGCACCATGTTAAATTAGTGATTGGCAAATTATGGTCTTTGCTTCAAATCTGACTGTCATTTGCTTTTATACAGAGTTTACACAAACACATCCATTCACTTATGCAATACACAGGGCTCCAAGAGCAACACTGAGTAGTAACAGTATGGTCCAGAAACATAAAACAACTTCCATATCTGCCTTTAAATGCAAATGTGCCAGTTCCCAGGCTAAGTAGATGAAACCAGACTCAGACTCAACAGTCCACATTTGACATAATTCCAATGATGCCATTTATATTGTATCCCATGAAAGCAAAAATATAATATAAAGTAAGCTGAAGGTAAATCATTATAAAAACTGAAAGAAAAATAAAAAAGAAGGAGGAAAGATAGAGTGGAAAATATCGTTATGTTCTTTAAGCTATATATTGAAATACATGAAATCTGTTCCCTTTATGCCAAAAAAGTAAATAAATAAAAACAGAAAAATAAATCACTTTTCTGTATAAGAGAGCAAAAAACAAATCAGTGATTGCAAGAATCAGACAATTCAGCAGGGGTTGGATTCTAAATGTTGAGGGAGAAAACATGTTTGATGAAAATATTCTATGGCAAGGATGGCATTGCGGTGCAGCAGGTAAAGCCATGCCCATAACGCAGTGATCCCACATTTTGTTATCCCTATGCTCTACTTCTGATCCAGCTCCCTGCTAATGACCTGGGAAAAGCAGTGGAACATGGCCTAAGTGTTTGCCCCTGTACCCACATGGGAGACCATGATGCAGTTCCTGGCTCCTGCCTTCAGCCTTACCCAAGCTCTGGCCATTAAGGCTATTTGAGGAGTAAGTATAATATTGGGGAATAAGAAAAATATTGGGGAATATCTTCCGGCAGATGGAAGATCAATCTCTCTCTCGCTCACTCCTTCTCCTTTTCCCTCTGTAGTTCTGAATTTCAAGTACATAAGTAAATAAATCTTAACAAAATTGTATGGCTTTAGTGTCGTGGAAAATAAAAAATATTTATGGCTTGACTATACTGGTAATTGATAATTATATAACTATGTATACTTGTTCATAGAACTGTATGTTATAAAGAATTACTTTCACTGCATTTAAAATTATAACCCAAATTATACTACAATGAACTTAACTTAGAAAACCAGTAAGACTGACACTGTATAAGGGTTTATTCTCTTCC